CCCGTCACACTCCACGCGCACCGCCCTGGAGCGCGGCGACCTGTTCTCACGAGCTCAGCACCGCCCAGCACCGCCTCTGCGAAGTGCCTGGTGTTCACAGGCCAGGAATCCGGGTCAGTCAGTCCCTGAGAGTGACTTGGACCCCGAATTGTCCCAATGCTGTACCCCAAACTTCACAGAGCCCACTCCCCCGCTGAGCAAGTCCAGCCCCACACGGCTTCTTTCCTGCACCCCGGCGAACGCAGGCGGCTTCCCGTATTTTGGCCCAACCCAGGGTTCCAAACTCACAGCCGAGTCTCAGTTTTAAAGTTTAGAGAGAATCAGGTTGGATCCTGGCGCGGAGGGGTGTCCAGACCCGCGTTGCAACATCCAGGGATTTCAGGGACCGCATTCCCAGAGCTGCCCGATGAAACAGCGCAAAGGAAAACACGCTCAGCCGTACTCACCCCTGACTCATAGCTTGGGCGCCAAGGACGTTGGTGGTTTTAGTTGTGCCTGTCTTTTTTGTAATCCTTAACTTTTCCCACGTGTTGGTAAAGCCTTTGGAGGCTCACATTACCGTGGACTGACACCTGGTGGCCGAAATAGACTCTCACACTTTCAGTGAAATTAGGAAATAGGGCAAAAATTTAAACCAAACCAAACCGAACCGAACCGAACCGAACCGAACCTAACTGAACCGGACCCCCCTTCCCCCCCGTGTGTGCTTGCAGCATTGACTACAAAGATGCAGGCAAACGGTTAGGTCTGCCTAAACATTCTTGAATTTTTTAAAGTGCCCACGAATCTTAAGCGGTTGCCTAAAGCATGCTTTCATTCTGCGTGGTTCTGTAGGACAAAATCGCATCTTTTTCATAATCTATTTTCCACATAAAGAGGACAAAGAAGTTATAACAGCAGTATAAATTGGCTAATTTTAGCAAGCTTTACCTACAATTATCTTTCCTCTTCTAATTAAAGCTTTTAAAATCAAGACAACTTTTTATAACTGAATGTTAGCGATTTTATTTCTGTAGTTCTTGCGAAATATTTCCCAAATATTTTAGTGTGATGAATAGATATAGCATGCTCCGAAGTAAAATGACTGAAAATATTTATTGCTTCGTGGATACTATAAAAGCAACATAATATTACATTAAGAAAAATATGATACTAAAGAACTATTTTTGCATTATCAGGAGTTAATATCATAGATGATATATCTGCAATTTTTGTATGCAAGTGACCTGTGATATGGGTATGAAATTATGTATATATATATGTATTTTATTTTATTTTTTTGCAACAGAATCTAGCTATATAGTTTGGGCTGGCCTTGAGCTCATAGTAAATCACCTG